AATAGGGGTACCCTAAGGGTCCCTTATTAGCCCTATCCTATTCCTCTTATACGTAAGGGGGATACTAGCGGCTAAGGGGTATTAGCTATCCTATATAGACGATTTTAGTATCTTTATAACGTTGACCTCGGCTAAGAAGAACGCCCGGCAGCTAAAAGCTATAGCTACTAACCTATTTAAATAAGCTAAGGACTAAGGGGTCTATTTCGACCCCTTTAAGACGGAACTTATCTACTTTAGTAGGTAAAGGCAGCTTATTTTAGAGGGTATAAAGGTAGGAGGCCTATTTTTTAAAGCGAAGCCCTAAATATAGTAGCTAGGGGTCTTCTTTAACTCTAAGCTCCAATTTAAATAATATATCGAAAAGAAGGTAGCCTCTATATAAGCTGCTTTTAAAGGGCTATCCCGCTTAGTCTCTATATAAAGAGGCCTATTATTTAGAGCTTTAAGGCAGCTCTACTAGGCCTATATAACTTTGATAGTAGACTATAGGGCCTAGCTTTAGTATAAGGGGCCTAAGACCCCTAGGAGCCTAATAAAGCCTTTCTAAAGGCTTTAGAACTAGGCCCTTCTAAAAGTCCTAGGGGCCTTTAAAGGATCCCTTATTAGGGCCCTAGAAGCTAAAGCAGCCCTCCTACTACTAGAGGTACGGTTTAAAAAGGCATGCCTCTCCTATGCCCTTCGAACCCTATACCTCTTACCGAATCACCCTATAAAGCAAGCTTATAACCTAGCCGTATAGGATAACCTCGCCGACTTAGGCTCTGACCTAGGAGCCCTAAGCTATATTAGGCCCTATATATAACTCTTCTACCTCCTTAAAGGCCTAGTAGCTATTATAGGGCCTAACTATAGCTTAGAAAGAAGGAAAGCTAGCTAGGAGCCCCTATAGGCTCTAGAGCTTAAGGCCTCTATTACGATAATAGAGGCCCCTAAGCCCCTAGCTAAGAAGTAGCACTAGCGCCTCTTAGCTAACCTAGCTAGCTTAAAAGACTTCGGGCTATAGCCCTTAGTCTTCTATACCGATAGCTCTAAGGGGTGCCTTAAGGGGTCCCCTATAGAGACTAACGCCTACTCCTTCTATAAGATAGGCCTAGAAAATAAGCCTAGTAAGGCGTACTATAAGAACCTAAGGCCCTCTATTAAAGTAGCTAACGTAGAGCTATTTACGATACTAAGGGTCTTAGAGGACCTAGCTAAGAGGCCTCGGCCTCTAAGGTCTAGCCCCCTTAACCCCCTGATAGAGGCTTATATCTTTATAGATAGCTAAGCCGCTATATAAAAGGCTAAAGGCTACTCGGACCTAGCTATATATATTAAAAGGCTCTTAACGAACCTAGAGGCCTTCTATAATATACGGCTATACTAGTGCCCTAGCTACCTAGGGATCTTTAGTAACGAGCTAGCTAACTAGCTAGCTAAGAGAGGCCTAAGGGCCCTTATATAAGGGACCCCTATAGTCTCTATTAGCTACCTATAAAGAAAGGTCTAATAAGCTACTAAGGACTACTAAAAGGGCCTCTAGGCTACTAAGGCAGCTAAAGGCCTTAAGGCTAAAAGCTTAGGTAAGCACTATATATCTATTTAAAAGACCCCCCGCCTAGCCTTTAGCCTAGAAAAGGCCCTTATAGGAAGGCCTAGGCCGACCCTTTTAGCCTACTACTAACTTTTCCTTAGGGCTAGCTTCTTATTATCCTTCTTAAAGAGGGTTAATAAGGTAGGCCGAGACGACTACCGCTATAGCTAAGGAAGGTATATAGCTAGGCACCTTATCTTAAGGTGCCCGAACTATAGGAGGGAAAGAGAGGTCCTATACTAGGCCTTAAAGGGACGGAAGGAGGCCCTTAGCCTACCTTTTCTCTATAGTACTAAGGAAGGAAGGGAAGCCCTACTAACCTTCTTAGCTAAAATAAAGATAGGAACGGCTAAGTAGCTCGAAAAAGAGTAACCTAGGGGCCCTAGGGCCCTTAAGGGGGAAAAATATTATATAGGAGGAACTAGATTAACCTTTCCTTTATCTTTGCCTTTATAGCTACCCTTTCCTTAATTAGTTATAAGCCCCTAGGCTCTATAGCTAGCTTAGGCTACTAATAGGGGCCTAGGCCCTTATTAGCCTCGCTATAGCCCTAGAGGCTATATACGAGTAATAATATATATAAAAAAAAAGGATGCCTTAGGCCCGGTCCCTTAAGAAGGAGTACTAGGGCTAGGGCTAGGGCTACTATTACTATAGGCGTTAGAGTATAAGCTAGGTAAGCGTAAAGTTAATAGGGCTACTAAGAGTAGCTTTCTTTTATCCCTTTACCTACTTAAGGGGCTAGTTTAGCTAAAAGTAGCTAGCCTAAAGTAGGGATAGGCTAGGCCTAAAAATACTAATCTTAGGCCCGCTAGGCCCGCTAAGCTAGATTAAGCTAGTAGCCTAAGTAGGTACTAAGCTTATTTTATTATCTTCTATCTTAATATCCTCTTAGCCTTAGTCTTAGTCTTAAGCTTTAGGCTTCCCTTCTAAGGTTCTTAGAGGGCGTTAGCCTTCTAAGGCTTCTTTTAAGCGGGCCCTAGCCTTTAAGGTACTTATTTCGTCCCTTATATTAAAGGGGGTTAAGGGGGCCCGCTTAGGGCCTAGGCTAGGGTCCTAGGTTAGGTCCGGGCTTAGTTATATTTATAGGGGGTATATATTAGTTAGCGAGGGCGGGGAAGGGTTTTCTACCTATATAAGGGAAAACCTAGCCTAGCTCGCTATCTTAAGTAGTATATTATATACCTACTAGTAGTAGCTGCGCGAGGCTATACTTAGGGGGCGTAATATACTATTTACGAGGGTTCTAAGTATATACTTTTTTTATATTTTAAGCTTAGTTTCGAAAAGTTAGCTAAAAGGACGTAATAATACTATCTTATACTTTAGGCTACTAGCTTAGTCTAGCTAGTAAGAAGGTTAGCCGATTTAATAGGCAGTCCCTTAAGGTATAGGGACTACTTATTCCGCTATTTTAAAAGTTTCTTTATTATATAAGGGGCTTTTATTATTATAACTATATTACCTCTATTTAAAGTTAATAGAGCTAATATAGCTAGTTCCCTTATAGCCTTATTAAGCTTATTATAAAGAGTAATAGGGTTAATAGTCGGCGTTAGCGATCCCTTCTTTAGCTTTAAGATAAGCTAGAAGTCCTCTTTTACGTTCCTCTTAGCCGGGGCCTTAGCTAGAGCCTTAGCCGGGGCCTTAGCCGGGGCCTTAGCTAGGGTCTTAGCTAGGGCCTTAGGCGCCTTCTTTATAGCGACCTTAGCCTATAAGCTAGCTTTAAGATTTCCTTTTATAGCCTTAGGCTATTAGGCGGCCTTAGGCTAGTACGGGGGCTATTACGGGGGCTGTTATAGGGGCTGTTAGCGGTCTAGGGTCCCTATAGCTACCTTTTCGAGCCCTTTTATAAGGGTCTTATAAAAGGGTTCGATTTTTTAGGCTTCCTTAATAGCCTAGAGGGCCTATTAAAGGAAGCCCTAGGCCTAGTCCCTTAAGAAGGGGTACTAGGGCTAGGGCTAGGGCTACTATTACTATAGGCGTTAAAGTATAAGCTAGGTAAGCGTAGGGCTAATAGGGCTACTAAGAGTAGCCCTCTTTTATCCCTTTACCTACTTAAGGGGCTAGTTTAGCTAGAAGTAGCTAGCCCGAGGTAAGGATAGGCTAGGCCTAAAGATACTAATCTTAGGCTCGCTAGGCCCGCTAGGCTAGATCGGGCTAGTAGCCTAGGTAGGTACTAGGCTTATTTCGTTATCTTTTATCTTAATATCCTCTTAGCCTTAGTCTTAGTCTCGGGCTTTAGGATTCCCTAATATATTGCCTAGCGCGGTACTTTAAGCGGGGCGGGCTAGTAAGTATATATACTAAAAAAAAAATCTATTATACTAATAGTAAAAGGGCGTTATATAAATAGCTTTACTCTATATAATTAGCTAGGACTATTAATAAAAAAGCTTTCTTTTACTAGCCTTACTATAGCCTTAAAGGCTTTATATAAGTTATAATATATAAAAAACTATTAAAAAGGACTTTAAGCTATTAAAGTAGCTAAAGGCCCTAAGGCTAAGGGCTTAGGTAAGTACTATATATCTATTTAAAAGACTACCCGCTTAGCCCTTAGCCTAGAAAAGGATATAAGGAGGCCTAAGCTAACCTTCTTAGCTTTTTATTAGCTCTATTTTAAGGCCGGCTTCTTATTTTCCTTCTTAAAAAGGATTAATAAAGTAAACCGAGATAACTACCGCTATAGCTAAGGAAGGTATATTGCTAAGCACCTTATCTTAAGGTACTTAAACTATAAGAGGTAAAGAGAAGTTATTTACTAGACCTTTAAGAGATAGAAGGGGGCCCTTAGCTTACTTATTTTCTATAGCTCTAAGGAAGGAAGGGAAGCCCTTTTAACCTTCTTAGCTAAAATAAAGATAGGGATAGCTAAGTAGCTTAAAAAGGAGTAACCTTCCTTACCTTAAGGCTCTTAGGGGGGGAAATTACTATATAGGAGGAACTAGACTAATAACCTTTCCTTTATTATTACCTTTATAGCTACCTTTTCCTTAATTAGTTATAAGCCCCTAGGCTCTATAGCTAGCTAAGACTACTAATAGGGGCCTAGGCCCTTACTAGCCTCGCTATAGTCTTAGAGGCTATATATAAGTAATAATTTTTTTTTAAGTAAGGCAAGCTAGTACTAATATATATCTTAAAAAATAGGGCCTTTATAAAAATAGCAATATATATTTTTATAAATAGTAATACTATTTTATATACCTTTGCTTTTAAAGTTTTCTCCTTATACCCACCCTATAATTTATCTACTTACTAGGTAGAGAGCTGTCTACTAGCTTATTTGGCCCGACAGTTTAGGTCTAACAGCTGACTGCAAGAATAATTATTCTAGCAGGAAGCTAATGCCTCGCTTCCCCTTCCCTCTCTCTATGTGACTTTCGCAGGAATGACCGGATACGCTGGACTGGTCGACTGTATGGTCGATAGAGTTGCCACCAGGGTATGTAGCATCTTGGGTCGAGAACGACTCTGCGTGAACCCTTCGGCCAAGATTGACTGACGGAGTGTTGAAAATTCGCTGCAGCTGCCGCATCGAACAGGAACTCCCGGTCGAGCATTAGAAGATGACGATGTTTTGCACACCACGCGAGCCATGCTGGTCGGCCTTAGCAATGTCGCGCTTAGCAATATTGCAAACGCCCTCGTTGACTTGCTCGAGGACTTGGCGCGACCGTATGTTGGGGTTGCCACTCACCCAGCCCACGTTCTACAGTCGGAGCTCTACATTGTGGCGCTATTGGCCGATTGCTGCTCTTCCTGTTGGCCTTCACCCTCCACCAGTGATGACACCGACGCAGGCGACCCTCACCTTCCTTCGTCCCTCGGCAAGAACCTCGTGAACCGCCTTTTCGACGCTATAATGGAGTTGCTGGAACCCATACCCGACGACTATATGCTCCCTCCCCAAACCCTCTTGGGACAGGTATTGGAGAGCAACGCCTGTGTGCCCTGGGTCGGTGTCGTGCATTCGCAACGGGAGATGGGGGACTCAGACAAGTCTTCCCATCTGTTTGAACATGCAGGCGGCTTGGGCGCATATGTCAAGACTATCGTCGAATACATCACGGCAACGAATTGGTCCTCCTCATTTGCCTACGTCAAGAATGTCATTTACAGCATTCGCACTGCCCCCTCCTTGGCCGACGCAAGCTCAGAATCGCCTCATTCTCATCAAGCCTCCGAGCAGCTGGCACTTGTCGTCGCCCGTGCCCTGCCCTTTTTCTGGGTCGATGGCCCCAAGCTTGGTCTCATTATCCAGGAACTTTGCTCCAGCTATCTACATTTTCGGAAGTCTTGCCAGAATGCTGTCGCTGCCGCCTTGCCGCTGTTGATTACGCGGTGGGTCGACCGCTATCCCGACCAATTCGTCCGGCTTCACTCCCTCCATAAGAAACCTGATGGTGGCGCGGACACCCTGTTTGATATGACCCAAGCTGGAACCGACAACGGGAAGAGAAAGACCGTATTGTATCCGCTGCAGCTTACGCTACTTCTCATGCTACCCGACATCTTTGAAGTAGCTAGTAACATGAGCGAGGCCAGAAGCAACAGCATGATGAAGAAAGTCAACTTCCTCGACGGCCTGAAAAAAGCCCTCAGAAATGGCAATGAACGAGCCGGTTACTGCCTTATTGCATTGCTTCGTGCCGCTCGCCACTTCGACAGCAACAGTGAATCTGCGCTTGTCAGCTATGCAATGGACGTGCAGGACGAAGTCAAGGACGTCATCTTCGGCCACACAGTCCCCCCTTCACCAGATGCACCAGTCTTTGACCAAGACATGATTACCGGCGCCTTTGTGAGCTTGGCTCACTTGAACATGCGCGGCTGTGTCGATTCACTCCTCCAATCTTGCATAGCGTCATGCGCCCCGAATAAACACAATATTGCCGTCGTGCAGGCCTGCGCCTACTTTGCGAAACAGGATTGTGCCGTTGATTCTGAACGTTTGTTGGACGCTGCACTCCCCTTTATGCAATCCCGGTTCGAGGTCAGACTTTGGAAAGGCGTGATGCCGTTGACTTTAGGTGACTGACTGGCGACAGGACAATTGTGCGGCCGCGGTGCTGTCCCAAGGGGACTCGAGAGAAGGCAGTTGGGGCCTGGTCTGCGCTATTCTTCGGTTTCTGCATCTTTTCCCCGAACCCCTATCTGATGAGCTGTCCCGAGCCTCCTTTGACAGGGGCTTTCTCCGGCCCTTTATCTTCTGCGTGTTGTCATCCGACACGTCCATACGCGGACTGGCTACGAAGCTGGCCACCAGGCTTCTTGACGAGAAGCAAGGATTCCGGGAATCTGACGTCGAGAACTGCTCTTTCCCACGAGATCTGGGGAAGGACATTTGGAAGCAAAGGTAAGTGGAAACCTGTAGAGCAGCGCGTGAGCAGAGTCTGAAGTATAACAGCTCAACGGTCGTGACCGACCTCTGCGAGCGTATAGAAGTTCAAAGGCAGACTGCGGAGATCAAGTCACTCCAGGGGTTCTTGGCAGCTCGCCTGACCCTCCTGAGAGCAATACCCGTTGGTTCAATCCAAGGTCTGCATTGCGAGCCCAAGCTGTGTCCTAACGACTGCAGGGCTTGTCGAATCTCGCCTGGGATGCTCCTGATGTGGCCAACGATTCGTCAAAACTCGAGAGTGTCCTTCTTGTCTCGCTCTGCACGGCGGATGTTGACATTTGCCAGACTGTAACGTCTTCCATCGGACTCTTGCTTGAGGAAGCGTCTTTCATAAGAGCCCATAATGAGCACAATGGGTCCATTCCCTCGGTGCTTCGCAATCAAGGCACTTACCAGGAGCTCGCTTCTCCTGCCTTCCGCTTTACTGGGTTGGTCGCGTTCCAAAAGAGGATGCGCGGCCTCTTGCGCAGTATGCATTACCCAACTTTGGGAATTCTCAATGCCTGGAACGTGGCCTTTGAAAGATGGATCGAGCTTGCTAAGGATATTTCTACTTCGTCGGTTGATGCCATTGACGACAAGATGCTTTCCGAATGGAGAAACTTGTCGGGATTCCTGGCCTCGCTGGGCGGCATTTGTATTGCTGATCGAGGGACTGCACTGGAAGAACTACCTCCTAGCGGCTTGCGATGGATCGATCGGCACATTTCGGAGCACTTCGAGGAGCCAGATCTGACGCGTTTCCTCAGAGTCAGCATCCAACTCTTGGGCTGCTCCATTGCGAGAGTGCGCGAGGCGATGCGAGATGTCTTGTCCACCGAAACCTCCTCCGTTCTCTACGGTCCACTGTTCAAGGCTCTGGAGTCAGAGCTTGAGGTGCTTCTGACTGGGGTCCTTCGTCCGGCTGAAAGCGGACAGGACTGTGGGATCATTTTCGCCGAGCAGGCCGCTTCGCTGTTGAGAACCATGGTGGAAAGGATAGAAACTCCGACAGATCTCGGAGGATCGTCATTCATTCATCTTGGCATCATAACCCTCAACTTCACCAAGTTTATTGACTCGGCTTCCGATGGAGCAAACACACTCAGGGTAAAGATCAGGGTTTGCAATCTATGCGAGGCGGTCACGCAACGGAGAGAACATATGAACCTGCGGGACGACGTGCGCACCAGGAACCGACTTCTCGAATGCATCTTTGGCTGGATAGCCCGGCCGCTCCCTTCGATACAGGAGCAACAGTCTACCACGGGGACCCGGCAGGATGATAGTCGCCGCATGCAGAAAGACCTGGACAAGGCGTGTTTGAAAGCTCTTGCTCAACTAACCTTTCGCCTGCCACTGCAGCCCGCCGATAGTCAGACTGACGCCGGAATGAGCGCACAAAAGGCCCAGATGTTTCACAACTACTTCAACCGCTTCTTATTCCTTTTGCACAACGAACCTCGTGATGCCGGCCGTTCAGAATACTCTGGCGTGGTCGCGCGCGGCGGAGCGGCTCCCGACTCGGACTTGGTCATCACCATCCTGTCGAACCTCTTGAGCGCAAACATCGACGTTGGGCTGAAGCATTCCCTGAATATTGGTTACCATGAGAACATCGAGATACGCACTGCCTTCGTCAAGGTCCTCTACAATATCCTGATGCAAGGAACGGAGTTTGGCAGCCTGACCGACTCGGCTGTGAGCGAAAAGTATGAAGAATTGTTAGATGTTCGTGCCCCTTATGAAGTCCCATCTGCGTCCGAACGACTCACCATCTGGGGTCAAGGTCCTGACGACAGATCTTTCTCTCCCTGTCGCGATGAGTTCGGTTTGCCCGACATCCGAGGTGGACGAGCTCACCGTGTGCCTATTGACTATCTTTGAACAGCGTGGGCTGATCTTCGAGTTATTCGAGGCTCTTATAAGGCATGAGATAGGGCAAACTGGTATGGACATGCCTGGCTCTTTGGTGGCAGGCGCAAGCTCACCATGCACGCAACAGAAAACGAAGCCGAGATTCTCCGAAGAACATGCGTCGTGACCAAGATGCTCTCCATATATGCCAAGTGGAAGGGTAACCTGTATCTGCGGGCCACTCTCCGAAAAGTCCTCGAAAGACTCATGTTGACATCGCAAGATCTCGATCTGGAGCTCGACCCCGCGAGAGTCGGCTCCCAGGAGGAACTGCAAAAGAATGCGGTCCAGCTTCAGATCGTCGCAAAGGTCTTCATGGATGATATTTGCGCATCGTCGATGAGTGTGCCAGCTTCGTTTCGGAAGATATGCAGTATCGTGAGTGGCGTCGGCGAAAAGCGAGGGGCCACGATGCAGACGGTAACACATGCGTGCAGATATCCGACGCCGTTTCGTCTCGCTTCCCAAACGCCAAATACACCGCGGTTGGGGCTTTCGTGTTTCTCCGCTTCATCTGCCCTGCCATTGTTGCGCCTGAATCGGAGGGCCTCGTATCAAGTGCACCGACAAAGGGAATGCGGCGTGGCCTCCTGCTCATCGCCAAGATCATACAGAACCTCGCAAACAACGTCCTCTTTGGCGCCAAGGAGCCCTACATGTTCCCGCTCAACCCATTTCTTGTCCAAAACATACATTTGGTGACTGGGTTCTTGCGTGAGATTTCGGTGAGCTGTCGAGGGAGTGGTAATCGTTCGTGGATCCCCTTTAACACACACCAGGTGCCGCCGAACCACTTGGAGAGCCGTGTGAACTCGAAGCTTCTCGACTTTGGATCCTGCGTTGCCCTCCATCGCTTTCTGTACGACCACTGGGACCACGTTCGCCAGACGCTGGCTTGTCGTGAGAAAAAGGAATACGTTGTACGAAGCCCTGCAGAGTATGCGCGTGGCACGCCGTCCATCTCCGAGCCGCTTCTAGATCTTGTTACCAAGCTTGGGCCCCCGCCACTGGCCATATCTTGGAATCGACCGCAAATCTCATCCAACTCGCCACCACTATACTCCCGATTCCAGAATTTCATGCTCCGGAACGCGTTCAAGAGTTCCGAGTCTTTTTTGACGTCTCGAGCTGTTTACGACGGAGGCGAAAGCAAGGCATGTGCCCGTTTCGTCTGACCCTAACCCCCTTCTGATGGCATTCCAGGATGGGCTTTCGATAGTCTGTGTCATTCTGCGGCACATTGAAAACGAGAGCATCGACTATGACACCCTTCTATATTGCTATCTGAAGGTGAGGCTACTGCGCCGACGCCCTCAATGCCAAACACGCGGACAACCAAGACGGCGCTCACTGGCCTCGGACCTCGAGGATGACCTCCGACACACCATTCTCAACCCTCATCTTCAGCTTCAGACACTATGCTAACTTGGCATACAGATCGCGAGCCGGTTGTGGCATGAGCCTTTCGGTCTTTTCATAGATTCGACCTGTTACAAGGGGCGAAACGAGCCCCCAGACGAGTTTTTCACAAATCTGGACCTCTTAACGCCCTCGGAACTGTCGCTGAGTCTGTCTAGGATATACGTCTATAACATGAATAGCGCATTCAAGTCAGTTCTAATCCAGCAACTTCGAGGAACTGCAGCTAATTAGTTAGTTGTAGGCGATGCTTTCGACGGTTATTACGAGTTTCCACCCGGAATGAAAGCAGCGTTTTTCATCCCAAGAATGTGGACTACCATCTCATCGGTAGCCTTCAGGACCTGCAAGCACACTTTCACCTAAGCCAGCTCCACCTCCCGAAAGAGACCATCAGTGTCGTGACAGACACGCGCTACGTCTTCCAGCCCGTCACTCGACTTTCCAAATCCAAGGGAATGGTCGAGGTCATCATCAAGGTTGGCAGCCAGTTTGTTCAGGTCACAACAGCCAAGAAGCAGGAAATCTTGCCAGGGCTGCGCCTGAGCAGCATAGTGAATGACATCTTCCGCCTTGGCGAAGTCGAAGAAGCTACGACGACGATTCACGCCGAGGACGAATCTGCTTTTGGGCTAAAAGCAGATGGTGGCAAAATCGTCATGTGTTTTACGAGCATGAAGAGGGTCGATGTGCTCCAGAGCATCCGCGGGGCAAAGAGCAAGCACGGAACGGATGACAGGGCTCACAAGCCGCTCGAGAGGCTGGTTCGTCCGCAGGATGTTCCGGGCACGATTCTCAACCTCGCCCTCACCAACTTGGCGAGCCCAGACCACACCCTCAGACTTGCGTCGTACAACCTGCTCGGTGCACTTTGCCGTGCCTTTGAATTCGGCGCCGAAGCCAGGATAGTATGCGCCAAAGGTCAGGTTCCTCGGGTGCCCCTTGTGCCAGTTTTACCCAGGGCACAATATGGAGGCCGACTCGTGGAACAACTGCTAACACGCATAGACTTGTCCGTTCCTCTCGATCCTTCCCGGTTCATCGTCAACATGAGCAAAGAACTTGCCCTCACCGAGGCACAACTGACCTCGGATTTCCTGACTGAATTTTTCGTCAGCTGGGAGGGCCTCCCAGAGGAACAGAAACCCCTTGGATTAGAGTACATGGCCCCCTGGCTCTCGGGCTTGCGCCTCAATGTTCTGGCTAGCGACGTGGATGGGGACAAGAGCCGGGAAAAAGTCGCCAGTCTCTTCCGCAAGTTCATCGACCTCGTTGCCCTAGACCCGAGTCTGCTGCATGCCCTCGAGCACCATGTTTGGCCATCAGTGGCCCGAGACGAATTACTGCTGGAGATCTTCCTCGACGAGCTCATCAAGACTTCCTTAAGCTATGATGCACGAGCAGAAAGCGTAGCAACGGTCTCGTCCGTCATGGTTGGCATTGGCACCGTCAGTCTTCGGGGCAAACTCATCTCACGTCTCCGCAAGGCGCTCAATCGCTCGTCTCTACGGCCAACCAGATTCCTCCCAGACAATGCCGTCTGGGTCGAAATATGTGTTCTGCTCCAGTTTTGCCTAGCCCTATCGTTTGACAGCGGCGTGCAGTCTCAAATGTTTCTCCCAGAGGTTTTTCACATAGTGACAATGCTTGCCAACACCGGCGGACAAGACATCCGCCTCCTTGTTCACAAGTTCCTGGTCAACACTATACACGCCGCTTGTTCGTCGTTCATGCTGGACGATGCGAAGCTCTTCAAGCTACAGACCAACCTAGACTCCCTCTGCGACGTTCGCGGAGACACCTTGTCGTCAGCGCTGGCTCGAGAGGACGGTTCTGTATCTATGATGCAGGATTCGGGATCGGCGCTTGCGACCACGGAGAATCTGGCAGCTATTTTGTTTGAGACATGTTCTGCGGCGGCTCCGTCGACTGACGTGGCCAATGCTTGGCGTTCCCGGTGGATGAGTCTCGTCGCCAGCACAGCCTTCCAGAACAACCCAGCTATCCAACCAAAGGCTTTCGCAGTGATGGGCTACCTAGCCCGCGAGGAGGTCGACGACGACCTCCTATATCAAGTCCTTGTTGCCCTTCGAAGCAGCGTTGGCCAGTTTGGAGAGGACGGCAACAGCGAGATGCTGAAAGCCATTGTCACATCTCTCGCCAAGATGATGACCAAACTGCCATCTGCGTCTCGATATGGCGTGCAGCTGTTTTGGCTCGCCATCTCGCTCGTGCGACTGGTGCCGTCGGGGCTATTCAACTGCACTGCCCAATTTCTAGAAGCGATACTGACCAACATTGGGACCGCGGGCAACGTAAGGGGCGAGAAAATGGTCCCGCTACTACTGCAGAGCCGCAGTCAACTGGAAGAGGCAGCTCTTCCCCTGGATGAAGCGTACGGTATCCAGTTCGGCCATGAGACTTTCCACTTCGCGGTTTGCGCCTGTTTGGTCAGGGGACTGACCGACGCCGCCACGAGACCGACGGGCATTCGTGTGTTGTCCTGTTTCTTGGAATTGACAACCTGGACGGCTGACTCCCTTCTGTCTGGCCAGTCACATTCTGTGCACGGGTCTCCCTACTTAGCCTTGATTTTGGCCCGATGCGTGGGCCATGAGGACTTCATCGAGAGCCTCTGGTGGTCTGACATGAAGCTTGACGGGACCAGCAGCATCATCAATTCACGCGGAGGCCATGATGTTGACAGTTTTCAGGACCAGGAGCTTCTGCTTATGTCCGCCGTGGAGCTCGTGGATTTCCACCACCTGGAAGACGCGGCTCAGGCGCGCAGCCTTGACTGGTTGAACAAGCTTGCTATCGCACGCCCAAGTGCTTTTGTCAAACTGTACGTTTGCCCGCCCGCCTTGCTTGTACAGGTAATATGTACCCGAGCCACGTCCCGGCACTGACGAGCCAGAAGGTGTGGCCCCATGCCGTCTATTTTGAGCGGCGTGCTGCTTCATGGACAGGATTCGGCTGCATTGGGGGCTGCACACTCGTTGCTCCGGATCCTGACATCGGATGATCGATATGCAGCCGCGACGGGATCCATGCAGACCCTGAGAGATGTGCTGGATGAACTCGGATTCACCGGACTGTGTAGAGACTCTTCTTCGCAGCCCCGAAGCGCGGAAGTAAAGCAAGAATGCTTCGAGCTGACTGCGAAACTTATTGAGGTGAGGCAAAACTTATGGGCATCAGGGTCGAGGTGTCTCTAGGAGCTAACCGAACTCACCCCAGCTGATGGTGATATGAGCGACGAAGATGTCTCGAGCGGATGAAATGTTCAGACACATGGCTGAGGAGGAATGCTTCGCGCTACGCCCTAAAAGGCAAGGGGTGCATTGGCGAAGTAATGTACTGTCGAGCGCCCCCATAGAGTCATAAATCGTTTATTGTATGCCGTTTTATTCCCCACCTTTGGGTTGACTCACTAGCTACTTCCGCGAATCTTCGACAAAATTTGGTGCCAAAGACCCCTAGGCGTCTCAAGCTTCCGACACAGGTCTAATTCAACGAGCGACCACTCCGCCGCGTGGCCAGTTCTTCTCCATAAAGCATGGCACCACCAGTCGAAAATTCCCCTCAGACGATATCGATCCTTGGCGAGGCCAGCATCATCGCCGACTATGCTCTGTGGCCGGCCCGCATCGGAACGGACCTCCTCCGCAACGTACAATCATCCACGTATGTCCTCCTAACCGACACGAATCTCTTTCAGACCTATGTTCCTCCCTTTCGGGACTTCTTCGACGCCAACCGGGGCGATGGCGCGACCCGCCTGTTGACATATGCTATTCCGCCCGGCGAGGCGTCCAAGTGTCGAGAGACCAAGGCCGAGATCGAGGATTGGATGCTATCCCAACAATGCACTCGAGATACCGTTATCATTGCCTTGGGCGGCGGCGTGATAGGCGACATGATCGGATACGTTGCGGCGACATTCATGCGAGGAGTCCGATTCGTCCAGGTTCCAACAACACTACTGGCCATGGTCGACTCATCCATTGGCGGCAAGACGGCTATTGACACGCCCATGGGCAAAAACCTGGTGGGCGCCTTTTGGCAGCCGCGACGCATCTACATCGACTTGGACTTTCTCGAAACTCTCCCGGCCCGCGAATTCATCAACGGAATGGCCGAGGTGATCAAGACGGCCGCCATTTGGGACGAGACCGAGTTCACCGTTTTGGAGCGGTCTGCCGCAGACATTTTGGCATGCGCTCGTTCCTGCAGTGCTGGTCGCTTCCGGCCCATCAGGGATGCTCTGAAACGAGTCGTCATCAGCTCAGCGCGTGTCAAGGCAGAAGTGGTCTCAAAGGACGAGCGTGAGGGCGGGTTGCGCAACCTTCTCAACTTTGGCCATTCCATCGGTCACGCGATAGAGGCCATCCTGACGCCACAGTTGCTTCACGGCGAAGCAGTCGCCATTGGCATGGTCAAGGAGGCAGAGTTGGCACGATTTCTGGGTGTGCTGCGTCCCCACGCCGTTGCTAGACTGGCCAAGTGCATTGCCGCCTACGGACTGCCCACATCTCTGCAAGACAAGCGAGTCGTCGAGCTGACGGCTGGAAAGCAGTGTCACGTGGAAGATATGCTGCGGAAAATGTCCGTTGATAAGAAGAACGACGGCGGCCAGAAGAAGATTGTGCTATTGTCTGCGATTGGCAGGACCCACGAGGCCAGAGCCAGCGTCGTGGCAGATCGGTACATCAAGTTGATTCTTTCGTCATCAGTATCCGTGACACCCGGAGTACCCCGCGGTCTCAACGTTACCGTCACTCCACCAGGGTCCAAGAGCATCTCGAACAGAGCGCTGGTATTGGCGGCCCTCGGCTCCGGACGCTGCCGCATCAGCAACCTACTCCACTCGGATGATACCGAGTACATGCTATCTGCAATCGCCCGGCTCGGTGGCGCCTCATACTCGTGGGGAGATGCTGGCGGCGTGCTTGAGGTTCAGGGTAGAGGCGGCCAACTTAAGGCCAGTCCAGATGACTTGTATATCGGCAACGCTGGCACGGCCTCTCGCTTTCTCACCACTGTGGTGGCGCTCTGCTCCTCGACCGACGTGGTCAAGTCGACAGTGCTGACGGGAAACAGCCGGATGAAGATGCGCCCAATTGGCCCTCTGGTCGACGCGCTGCGGCTGAACGGAGTCAAGATCGAGTACCTGGGGAAGGAGAACAGCCTGCCGCTCCGGATCCACGCCGCAGGAGGTCTGGAAGGTGGTGTGATTGAGCTAGCGGCGACTGTATCTTCTCAGTACGTTTCATCAATTCTCATGGCGGCGCCCTACGCCAAGAGCCCTGTCACCCTCCGCTTGGTAGGTGGCAAGCCCATCTCACAGCCATACATCGACATGACCACTTCGATGATGAAATCGTTTGGGATATCAGTCATCAAGTCCACTACAGAGATGGACACATACCACATCCCCCAAGGAGCCTATCAGAACCCTCCGGAATATACCATCGAGAGCGATGCGAGTTCAGCCACTTACCCACTGGCCGTGGCGGCGATTACCGGCACAACCTGCACTGTTTCCAATGTTGGATCTCAGTCTCTCCAGGGAGATGCACGATTCGCCATCGAGGTGCTGCGGCCCATGGGCTGCTCCGTCACGCAGAGCGAGCTCTCGACCATGGTGACTGGCCCGCCGGCGGGGACCTTGAAAGCCCTTCCACTTGTGGACATGGAGCCTATGACAGATGCCTTCCTGACCGCCTCAGTATTGGCGGCCGTCGCCAATGGCACGACCCAGATCAACGGCATTGCTAATCAGCGAGTCAAGGAATGCAACCGAATCGAGGCTATGAAAGACCAGCTGGCCAAATTTGGCGTGGAATGCAGAGAACTCGAGGACGGCATCGAGGTTCGGGGGAACTCGCTGATCGGCCTGCGTGCGCCAGATGCTCAGATTCACTGTTACGACGATCATCGCGTTGCCATGAGCCTCAGTGTGTTATCTCTAGCATCACCACGCCCCACCATCATCACCGAGCGGGAATGCGTGGGGAAGACGTGGCCGGGGTGGTGGGACACGCTTTCTCAGCCGTTCCAAGTCAGCCTAGATGGTGTCGACAACGGCACCGCTACTCAACGTGCCGTTGCGAAAACCCTGGGTACCCAACGAACAACATTTGTGGTTGGGATGAGAGGGGCTGGGAAAACCACGGCGGGACAGTGGATGGCGACGCTCTCGGGTTCCAAGTTCATCGATCTGGACCAGGAGCTCGAGCGACGTTGCGGAAAAAAGATCACTGACATGGTCAATGGCCCGGACGGCTGGGAAGGGTTTCGCCGGGACGAGCTGGCGCTCTTGCGCGACTTGGTGGAGACACAGCCCCATGGCCACGTCTTCTCCTGCGGCGGAGGAGTAGTCGAGACACCTGAAGCCAGGGAACTTCTGCAGGCTCATTGCCGCAACGGTGGTCATGTCGTCCTGGTCCATCGGAATATCGAACAGATCGTGGAGTATCTGACAAGAGACAAGACAAGGCCTGCATACACAAACGAGGTTCGGCAGATTTATGAGAAGCGCAAAGGATGGTATGACCAGTGCAGCAACCACGTCTACTACAGCCCCCATACCGAGGCCCCCGTCAGCGGCGCTGAGATACCCGAGGATTTCAAGCTCTTTGTAGCCTCGATCCACGGCACAAGCACTCATTTTGAGGCGACAGTTGGAAAGAGGCAAAGCTTCTTCGTCTCGCTGACGTTTCCTGACCTAAGTAAAGCCCGCGACGAAATTTCCCGTGTCGTTGCCGAAGTTGACGCAGTGGAGCTCCGAGTTGATCTCCTAGAAAGGCAAGATCCTGACTCAATACTGGAGCAGGTGTCTGTTCTACGGGACGTGGCCCAAAAGCCCATCATATTTACTGTTCGAACCGAGGCGCAGGGAGGAAAGTTCCCCGACGACGACGAGGACAGGCGTCTCGCGCTTTACTGCCTGGGTCTGCGGATGGGCGTGGACTATCTCGACGTGGAAGTGACGGCCGACGACCACACACTGCAAGTCGTATCAGATTTGCGTGGACATGTCCGGATCATCGCTTCCCATCACGACCCGCAAGGCACTCTATCCTGGAAAAACGCGTCATGGATTCCATTCTACAACAGGGCCCTACAGTACGGCGCCGTCATCAAGCTTGTTGGCGTTGCCCGAGCTATTGAGGACAACTTTGACCTAACGAGCTTCAAATCCAAGATGCTGGCCTCGCAGAAGACTCCGATCATCGCGATCAACATGGGAGTGGCGGGTAAGCTCAGCCGCATACTCAATGGCTACCTCACGCCCGTCTCTCATCCCGTTCTACCCTTTCCAGCCGCACCGGGCCAAATGTCCGCTGCTGAAATCCGGCAAGGCCTAGCATTACTTGGTGAGATTGAGGCGCGTAAATTCTATCTCTTCGGGAAACCCATCTCCCAGTCAAGGTCGCCGGCCCTTCACAATCGCCTGTTCCAGCGAATGGGGCTGCCGCACCATTACGAGCTGCTGGAGACCGACAACGTCTCCGATGTACGCGCCGTCTTACAAGCCGCAGACTTTGGAGGCGCCTCTGTCACGATACCCCTGAAGCGGCACGTGATGGAACTTGTCGATGAACTGACGCCTGCGGCTCGGCTCATTGGCGCGGTGAACACGGTGACGCCCCTCACGACGAATGTGACGGATGACCGCCAGCGCTTTCTTGGAGATAATACGGACTGGAAGGGCATAGCATACACACTGAGGCAGGCCGGGGTGCTGGGGCGCAGCAGTGGCAGCTGCGCAATGGTCGTCGGCTCCGGGGGCACGACAAGAGCGGCTGTTTTTGCGCTGCACTCGATAGGGTTGCGTCCCGTCTACGTCGTGGGACGAGACCGCAGCAAAGTCGATGCTCTCGCGGCGGATTTCCCTGGCGACTACGATGTTCGTGTGGTCACCGGACCTTCGGACGTTGTAGAAATGACAGCAGACCTGAGAGTCGTCATCAGCACCATTCCAGCGGACAAACCCGTCGACCCCATGGTAAAGAAGTTGCTTTCCATGACTCTAGCGCGCTTTACGAACCCAGCGCAGGGCCGCGTCCTGCTTGAAATGGCGTACCAGCCCCGAGTGACGCCAGTCATGCAGCTGGCGGAAGAAGTCGACGGGTGGACAGTGGTTTCTGGATTGGAGGTGCTGACATCCCAGGGCTGTTACCAGGTACGTTTGAATAATAAACTAGTTCGTTGTCAAATTGAACTGACATGGCTTGTAACTCCAGTTCGAAATTTGGACCGGCATCACTCCATTATTCAGTGACGCACGCGACGCCGTCCTCGACTTTGGTGAGGACGCTTGAGGGGCCTGAGGGGTGCACGAGCTTTCGCTGGTTACTGCCTGCTCCCGACCGAGCGACTACATCTTCTATGGTTCAACAGGCGCGTGGGATTCAGGCTACGTCGGCGTGGGTCGGGCACCAGTGAAGGTAGTGAGTGTCTAGGCTGGGCTGTCCGCCACAACGCTGCCCGGCTGCCCGGGCATTTGAAGCAGACTGAGCTAGCTATAGAAGTAGCGTGAAGTCGTTGAAACAGTTCGCAATTCGCATCGCAATAATGAAAAGTGAGTCCAAGGCCTGGCGAATGGCCCAGTGGTCGAACAGACACACATGTGACGAGGTATCGACATTGTCCTCAATGTACTCGGTGACTGATCATAACCGCGGGGAGATAGTGCTCCCGTGAAATTGCATTTGTGAGTCCATGCAGGCATACAGAATCCATACTTGAGAAGTATTTCACCTCTACCTCCACCTCCCGAGTCACATTCCACCTCACGAATAATCGAACGCTTGACTAGATAAATGCGACGTGGCCGACCGAGTCCAGTCCGTCGATCAGTCTCGTAGTCTTGTTGCGGAACAAAGGGCGGGGGTTCGACTGCGAACACGTTCAACATACATGATACATCTAGCTTTTGTCTAAGATCAACCCAAAAGTCCCCGCCCCCTATTCAATATGCTGACAGAAGATATATAACGCCATTTTCTGATTGAAGAGGCTGGAAAAAGCACTGGGGTCTTTAGCTGGAGCGGCATGAAACCTCCCGAGCGCCAGTGATGCTTTTCATCCGTTTGACTCGTTTATTCGGCCCAGCTTGAGTTCCCGCATCAGGTTCCCCAAATACCCAAACGTCGAGCTTTTGATTAGAAGAACATAAGAAAGGGTGTTGATATAAGAGCACAGCCGAATAGGTACTAGCGTCGATCGATTCTTAAAGAGCGACTGCCGGATGTCCATTCAAAGAACAGGGCGCCCGACTGAGATGAGCGGGCTTGTACTGTAAAGCCATGCGCATGTCAAGAAAGTATGGTGAAACTGGATGTGGTGGGGGTGTGTCGATAAGGAGGGCCCCAAGAGAACGTGGTGATGTCATGACAGCGCGGGATAATGCGTAGTGACGTCAGGCCAGGTGGATCCGGCAGACCCTGCAGCCCTGCAGGAGGACCCTGAGACTCATATGTCATTATCCACCCCACGTATCCAACACCTGCGCATTGAATCGCTGCCGTTACGTCACCCGCGCATTGCCGTGCTGCAATGCGTTGCTGGTCGTACCATTGTCGATTTGATGATGATATCGAGGACAGCTAGGGCCCCAGCCCCGCCTGCCATGGTAATTCATCGACTCTAATGCGCGACGTGCGCATTACAGTCGCAGGAACGTCATTTTCATCGTCGACCTCCTTTCCCCCTCAAGTGCTTCCTTGTCGCTTGTGTTTTCCTGGTAGCTCCACCTCCGGATGACACACGCGATAATGCCTTGTAAGCGCGTCCGCGCGGCTAAACGTCTTTTCCTCGGTGCACATGTCACAGCGGACTTTTTGCTTGCGTGCGTTGTGGATGGTGTCCTCGTGCCGAGTTAGGTCGTAGGGCCGCGAGAAGACCGTGTCACAAGACTTGCCGGTGCTTGGGTTGATGCGATCACAACGATGTGGCCCAGATTGAGTGTTCAGCATGCCAGAGCTGATGCTAGCCTCGCGCGGGCCACCGAGTCCCTGTGTCTGTCGATGCCCTTCCCGTTTGTGTTTTTGCAGTAGTAATGGCGTCTCGAACCGCAACGTGCAGCCGTGATATGTGCAGGTATACGTCCCGCCATCCGCTCCAGTTCCCGGGGGCCTCTGGACGCTGGTGGGGGTGGTGCTGCTGGAAGCGATAGAACTCGATCCCGAGGGGCTGAGCCGTGGTGGTGTGTGCTGAACAACTCGGGCTTCGGAATCAAAGGGGTACTGTTGAGGCGCAGGGATGTTTGGGGACATTTGAGTGGGCTGAAAGCCTGCAGTAGCAGTGGCGGGCGCCCCCGTGCCGTGATAGTCGCTTGACTCCATGTACGGATCGTCCGACTCGGGACCATCCGCTGAAGCGCCCTTGGGCGTTGGCTCCATTACAAACGTCGACGCGTCTTGCGGAAACAGTGGGAAGTTGGCATTCCCATCTGCCTCGCCGAATTCGAGCATGGCATCTTTGGGCGATATAGTCTTGGGTGTCTCCACTTCGGCATCGGTTCGCAGGCTGCCGTCACCCTGCTGGTGTGTCGATGATGCTGCCTGCTGCGCTTTGGCTCCCTCCCTCGCTCTCCGCATCGTGTTATTGTAAACCGCAAGGGTAGCGTGGGAGGCCGTGGAAGAGACGAAGGGTGACCCGGTTCGAAATGGAGATCTTGTCCTCGATGCCGTTGAGGAGGGAGAATGCGCGGCGTTCAAGTGCTGGCTGTTGGCGGCGTTTATGCGTTGGCTAAAAATGTCGTTGGTAGGCGAGGTGAGTGTCTGCGACTGTGATGGCGAGGTTGAGGTGATGGCGAAGTTGGGACTGTATAGCTCGTCGCCATAGACATCCGTCATAGTTCGATCCAGCTTCGGCACGTTACAATATTCTAGGCGAGCCGTGAATACTGGTGAGCCAGGGCCTGCCTCGGTTGATGTTAGACGCCTACCGGTTCTCCGCCTGTCAACCTGGTCCGACTCGCCTGCATTCGGTGTGGCTGGCGAGTCGCCCGCAGCGGAGCTCGCGACTGAGGCCGGGCGTGACCGGTTGCAAGAGCTGGCAAAGTCTGGCGCGGGCAGCAGGGAGCGGTCGGCTCGCGGCCTCTGGGTAGGGCCTGGTATGGTGACGGGGTAGGCCATCTTGTCGGGTATGGGAGCTTCGAGGTTGTTGCATCCTAAGTAGGAGTTGATGGGCTTCGGGAATTGGTAGAAGGCGCTTGCTTGGGGCCCAGAGACATCGTGCGGATGCATATCGGCAAAGCCATCCACAGCAGGGTCAGTGACGGCGATTTGGGGGTTGGACATTTGACCCGCGAAAGGGGAGGCGGGGCCCGCGGAGCCGAGGGAAGAAGATAGGGATGACTGGCGCTGATGTGAAAGACGAGCCTGCTTTGGCGTCAAATGGGACACTGACCCCCAGGAGTCCGGGTGCATGGCTTGGAGAGAGAGAAGATTGGCGTCGCTGGCGGAATTGCTATTGTCGCTTGAGGTGTTGAGGGCGATGGGAAAATGGAGAGACCTAGGATGATCAAGGGCGGCGCAAATACGAAGACAGTCGAGAGGAAGGCCGAAGTCTTGAATCTGCTGCTGCTGGTGGCGGCGTTGTTGGTCAGGAAGTCGCTCTGCGTGCTCTCGGGAGAAGGGCTCGTAGGCGTCGCTAGGAGGAAAGAAGGTGATCATGATGATCCTGGGACGCGAGACTGGTATTGATGTGGTTGAATGGGTCCAGTGCAGAAGCGTTGTGGCGAATATGGGGGCAAGTGCTGTATTATAAACAGACGTAGATGGCGGACAGAGAGCTCCGGTAGAACCGGGTGCCGGTGAGTAAGGTGGTGTATTGGGTAGTGCTTTGAAAGCAAGGTGTGTGCTGTTTTGGGGTGGCCTTTACAAGTGCATAGCTACAGTACAGTGCGGTATGTAGAGGGGGCCAGCCGGCCGAGCATTGCACAAAACCGCCCCGCAAATCCCGAGACCCTGGGCCCCACCACCGCCGTCACTGAGCCAGGTCCCCCGGGTTCGCTGCAAAGTACCTCTACCATGTCGAGCATAGCGCCTCGTACTGTGTTCTGCTGGTTTTGCTTGGCCAGCCCGACCCCATGAAAGATGACGGAGAGTTGGAAGAGCAGGCATGCATGCTGTACAGTACTTTGAGGGTGAAGGAAGTACAGTGGTGTAGGTAGGGACCCAGGTAACTCTCGATTCGTTTTCCGGGCGGCTGAGTGCTCACGGTACCTTGGGTAGGTAAGTTACCTACCTACCTAGTAGGCATGTGGGCATGTACGGTAGGACACACTCCTGGTAGTAGAGAGCCCGTGTTTGTAGGAGCTCGCGGACGCTGGCCGACCGCCGGCGGGGGGGTCTAAGACGATGCAGATGCGCCTCTCCGGCTCGGGCCCATCCCAATGACGCTCGAATGTTGCGGGCGTTTTGCACGTACCGTATCGGTAGTGTTGATTGATTTTATCTCTCTAATTGAATTTGCCATATACTGTAGCCAACCACGAAAATCATGATGCAATCCGATGCCTCTAACCTTGTCTGTTCGAGGTTCCATGAAAGGTAAATGCAGCTTGTACACTAGAGGTACCGACCGCAGAGAGCCCAACACCAGCGCGTGGCCGCTTGTCCAAGCGCCTCGGTACTGGCGAGTACTCGGTCCTCGGCAGCCCACTAGGAGGGCCGCACTGTATGCGCTACATGTCCCCCAAAGTTGAGAGGCTGCGCGCTGGACAGGGATGGCGCGGGCAGAAACGATCGACGCAGCGCACGACGTCACCGATGGAGTGGTGGAGGGTGAGGCCAAGCGTGGGACGGACTCACAACGGATCGGAGTGCCAATGTCCATCTTGCTATCCGTACTGTATGAACTGTACGGATGAATCTCCGAGCATATTTCCTGCTTACGCCCTCACGTCTGCGTAGCTTGGCTAACCTGTCATTGACAGCCCGGCATGACACCATTTTTAGCATCGTGCTCAGCCACATTCGTCAAGACTGCCGAGCTTTTTCCTTTCTTCGTGTCGGCGGCTTCTAGCAGTTTCCGCCACACTTCGCCACATTTTATCCCACGATCAATCACATGACCGAGGTTCTCTCTATCCACAGTAAGAAACTAACAAGCCATCTCCCAAGGCAGCACCTGCCGTATTATTAGTACACCCATCCCTACGAGTCCCTTCTGATAGGGCTGCATAGCGTAACGAGGGTCGGCGACTCGGCCATGTCTTTGCGACGAGTGCTTGAGAGGGGAGTCGCTGTACTGCATGCACACCGGACCGCTTCATTGGGCTTCCAGAACAAACGAGGCCCGTCGGGTGCGTCTTGGAGTCGAGCCGAGACGCAACTTTGTTCGGCCTAGCCGAGGTCGAGGTGTGGTCGGAGCATGCCGGCCGGCCCGCTAAACCGCTAAACCACGCGCCCACGAGGCACTGGGGGCCTGCCGTTGGCCAGCCTCAGCCACGGGTGGCTCCCATGCACATGTGCTTGCCTTGCAGTCTTACAGCCGTCTGGTAGGGCCCTGTCCAACCCGGACAAGTGAAAATTTTACACAAGAGACTCGACCCAGGCTCGCCGCCAAGGCGAAGATGCGCCGTTTCAGCGTAGCAAGACAAGTTTGCCTATGAGCTAATGCTATTATTAACTTTGCCGAGGCTCGACATGGAGTCCGCGAATTTTCCGCAAGAAGCCAAGAGGGCGTTGTTCATCCCTCGACGACGTGACTGCAGCCGAGGCCGGCTCATCTGTTGACCACGGTTGATGTTGCAAGCCAAGGGGCCGGGCCGGGCCGGGCCTGGGTTCGACACGCGTGTCTGGTCACGCGCCGGTGTTGAATCACTATCGCAAGTGGGGTATTGCATGGGTGGCAGTCCTCTCTAAACGGGCGGTCGGCATTGCAGTGCGTGGCCAATCACTGAGCAGTCGGCGAGGTCGGGCAGTAAGTTGAGGTCCGTGTCAGCCGGTGGGCAAGTTCCATTGCTCCAGATGCAAAGTCGCCGATTCCCTTATGATACAAAGAACACCGTGAAGCAATACCCGATCCCATATTCCTCGTTATAAAAAAAATCCGCGTGACCATACGCGGTGGAAACCCAAATACGCGCCTCGAAAACGGAAAATTCATAATAGACGAGCAGCCGCTTCGATCGTTAACCACCAAACCCGTACAGGGTGCGGCCTTGTCGCTTCAGGGCATAGACGACATCGAGCGACGTGACCGTCTTTCGCTTGGCGTGCTCGGTGTATGTGACGGCATCACGGATAACGCCCTCGAGGAAGCTTTTCAGGACACCGCGGGTCTCCTCGTAAATCACTGGGCGGGGAGCGTCAGCGCTTATGCATGCGCGGTCGGCGTTTGGGGTGGGCTCGGTAAGACTTACTGGCAGAAATACGCTTGACACCGCCACGACGGGCGAGACGCCTAATGGCAGGCTTTGTGATGCCCTGGATGTTGTCGCGAAGAATCTTGCGGTGGCGCTTGGCACCACCCTTGCCGAGGCCCTTGCCACCCTTGCCGCCTGTTTTTCAGGTATGTCAGTTGTCACGTCGACCGATACTTGAATCTCGTGAGGGGTATATATATATTAAAAAAAAGACTTACGTCCAGTCATTGTGAATGAGGGGAGTGGAGTTGGGTTGTGTCTAATTGGATGCCTAGTATGCGGCAGATGGTGATGGGTGATGGGGTGGCGGGAGTGGTGGTATGGTGGTGATGGTGGTGAGGTTTGTAAATGGTGGTATCAAAAGAGAAAAAGAGAGGGGGCGGCGGGCGAACCTTAAGTACAGTGGGCCGGATACCAGATCAGTGTTGTTAACGCGGCTGATTTTGGGGCGTGCAGGCACGTAACCGCTGGCACGGACGCGCAAGGGCCGGGAAAAACATGCACAGCCGAAATAGGAAGTAGACGCGCCTGCCGTCTTTTCCCTGCAAACGCGGTGCTTTTTCTTTTTATCGCCTTTCAAGGGCTACATGACAATCCTCGCACTCGGCGGCGCGCACGGTCGCATGCGTAGAAGGAATATGTCTGCAGTAACTCGATGCTCGCGGTTTCTGCTCTCTCTGTGCTGGGGCAAGTTCCCTCGGGGACACTGGACACACGGCGTGACCAAGTGCAGATATATTATCGGGGCACTCGGCACCCGCTACTTGGTGCATGCAATTCCTGGCGAAGGCGCAGGCAGCCGTTTGCCGCGCCCCGCCCTTGCTGCTCCAGCCCATGCCTGACTGCCGGTCAAGCCAGGATATTGCTGTTCGATCATAATGCTGTGGCCGTCTTGGCCCCGCTATGGAGGGAGGGGGGTAGTAGCGACACACGCACCGCGAGGCTGCGATGCTTTGGCGATGCGAGAGGAGAGCTTGCGTCGACCTGTGGTCCCGGACGTTGAATGAGACGTGCCCCGGGAATGAGCAAGGCTGCATACTCGAGGCTGGCATGTGCGATCGGCGATGCCGTCGAGTTGGGTCTGTTTACCCAAGTGTGTCTTTGCTACATAGATGCCGCATTCGTAAATTATCTTCTTCGTCGATGTGGTCGAAATACTAAGACTGTGACAAGCATCTCGTGGTGCCATGGTCAGTCTTCCACGGGAAATGCCGGCACTCCTCCATACATGTAGAACGAGGAACGCGAGGGACGTGCTATTTACGAAAACCACAGACATGTATGTACAGTACACAGCAATACACCCCGAGGGTCGAGAAGTCCCGTCTTGTCGGCACCGACGACTGTACAGGGTAGGCGAGGCAAGCATGGTGATGCGGTAGGGTGGCAGGGTGGCTTGCGGAGCCGGGGCTGACCAATCACGAAACGGTCTTCGCCGCCCGTCCGGCTGCGGCGAAAGCACACGAAGTACCTTGCCGGTGTACCGGGGGCCAATCAGTACGGCGGGGAAGCGGGAAACACTCAATGTCTTGAATGGACGGAGTACCCGACTCGGGACCCGTTGGTCCACCGCACGACTGTAGACCTGCTTCGTCAACTTCCTAGGGACAGAGTTGAAAGCGCGAAGGCGCGCGTAAAGCATGTGCACGAATAATACGGCAATAGCCAGCTCTCTGTCTGTAGTTATCGGTAGGCCTCGAGTGAGTTGCGCCTCAGTTGCACCCCGCCCCTGGCCCCACCATCGAGTGACTATTAATCTGACACGCCAAGGCCCACAAGGAAGGGGGAAAAAAGGGAACCAGCAAGCTGCTGGCGGCGCCCCAAAAACCATTAGGGAACAAAAAAACAACAGCAGCGCACGGCCCCACTCCCGCGCGCCCCAGCAAGAAAATAGCGCCTGCTGCCCTTTTAGGCGTGCCAAATCACCCGCCAAGCCCAGCACTTGCTAACCGCAGGTATTAAAAGGCCCCCCCCCCGCCACCTCCGTCCCCAAACCTTTCCCTCCTGCATCTCACACACCCACTCCTCCTCCACTTCACCCCCCAACGCAACAACAACAACTCATCGCATCCATCTTCAATCATCAGAAGCCATGGCTCGCACCAAGCAGACCGCCCGCAAGTCTACCGGAGGCAAGGCTCCTCGCAAGCAGCTCGCTTCCAAGGCTGGTGAGTGCACCCCGCAGAGACGCGTGCACACGCGCCGTATCTGCCGCGCCGCGACGCGATACCCTCATCCACCACGCCTGCTAACATGCATCGCGTCACAGCCCGCAAGAGCGCCCCTTCAACCGGTGGTGTCAAGAAGCCTCACCGCTACAAGCCCGGTACCGTCGCTCTCCGTGAAATTCGACGATACCAGAAGTCGACCGAGCTGCTTATCCGCAAGCTCCCCTTCCAGCGCCTGGTAAGCTGCCCGTGCCATACAACGCATAAAAAGGAAGGCGACATTAACCGGACATTCACAGGTTCGTGAAATCGCTCAGGACTTCAAGAGCGATCTCCGCTTCCAGTCCTCTGCCATCGGCGCCCTCCAGGAGTCGGTCGAGTCCTACCTCGTGTCTCTCTTCGAGGACACCAACCTGTGCGCCATCCACGCCAAGCGCGTCACCATCCAGTCCAAGGACATTCAGCTTGCTCGCCGCCTGCGTGGCGAGCGCAACTAGACAAGGGACAGTGGAATGACACCGAGCGGGTTATGACTTTTCTGCTTTGATGATGGACATCATGGGTTGGGGGATAATCACGGCGTTACAATGAGACTTGCTTTTTCGCTCTAAACACGGGCTGTACATTACGCGGGCGCATCTAGCTCACATGCCGGAACTGCGACGGGCGATTGATTCAATCGGAACCCCTGACAAACCTCTCCGGAATGCCTCCCGCGACCGCTCGCCGTGACTGTACCTGACGCGACCCTTCGGAGGACATCGCGGACGCGATGATCACTGTAATCGCCCGCGTCCCTACGCGACAGCGGCCGCGTACCCGAAGTCGAGCCAACGCGATGCGGCGCCGTCGAGTTAAAAGCAACCCACACTGTCGGTGGCAGGCAATGTGTGATGCGCCATTTTAACACGAGAACGTCACGAAATATGCCATGCTGCCATATCCAATGAACAGGTGCCTGTGGACGACGAGAAAGAGCCTCAAGCAACACTGGCTCCAAAGGCTAGGAAGCGAAGAGAGAGGGAGCTTCCCCGACGGCCACGTCGTCGCGTAAGCGGCCCGGCTTCAGCAGGCCGAGGCTATCGGCTCACGACTTCCCGAGACGAGCCTATCTCACGCTCTCGGGTGGCAGAAGGGCCAGCCTTTCTCTCCTTTGGCGAGATGTGATGCCAAGCGGCTTCTACGGGCGGAAAGGCTTCTGCGTAAAGGGCCGCCGGCTGCCTCCCTTGATAATGAGTCATCCATCTTTTTTCGCTCCCACTTCAGCGCTTCGTCGGGCAGCCGGGCACTTCGGCTGGGCCGAGCCAGCCTCCCGACGCCGAACCGAGGCGCGTCGGGCCCGGTGCGGATACTATCACGCGACGTCGTGACTAGCCTCGCCTAATCCTGGGTTGCTAATAGGGGTGAGCGGCGTTAGCCTATGGCCGTTACGCTCGACGCAGACTCTGCCATCAGCCCCGGGCTGGTCTCACGAGGGCACCGGTGGGTTCATGCGGATTACGTGGCGCTCCGGTCCCCGTCAGATGCATGACTCATCCATTATGGAAGACAGGCCCGTCGAGGGTCGAGGCCAACCACCCGCAATCAGAAAATAACACTTTTTCTTCATCTGGCCTACAGTTCTGCTGTTGGATTGCCAGTGTACAGTATATCTCCGTAGATGCCTCGCAGAAAATCAGGTCGGGCGCCATCAAATATCCTCCACAGCATCATGCCCACCAATCCTCTCACGCAAGTGATCCCGTTTGGTATGTCGGCAGCTGCGTCAGCACGTCAAACCCGCCTGTGCCTACTCTGCCGAGTCTGCCCATTACCAAGCGACTGCTGGGTGTTGTCAGATCGTCCCAGTCGCCATCCAGCACCGCGTCCTTGAGGAACGCAAGCGTCGTCTCGAAGCTCATCTTGGTGAACGGGCTAACGTTGCCCTTGAGGCCCATGCGGCTAAACGCCGTGAAGCCGCCATTCCTCGTCATGTAGTCGGCAATGAGGTTGAGGTGCCTGTTGTCCACCTTAATGCCGTGAGATGCAAAGACTCCCGCCAGTTCGAGCACGATGTTGCCTCGGCAAGCCTCCACCCCATACACTGCAAGAACCGCCCCGATGTCGTTCGTCTGGATCCGGTTCGGGTCGATGAAATCGTTATACTTTTGCATCGCCTGAAGGTTGACACCTTCCGTGAGCACCATGCACCCGCTTTTCTGCTCGTCGACGAGGCTGCACGACTTGACGCCCGCAATCTGCTGCACCACCGTCTTGCGCACTGCCTCATGTACAATGTTGAGCATCAGCACCTTGGGGATGAAAAAGTCAAACTCGAGCGTGACGTTGCACCAGCCGCCGTCCCGCTCGTCGCTCTCAAAGTCCGTCACTTCGGCGTAGGCGTTGATGATGCGCTCCGCGCGGGCTTTGGCCGACCAAGACGACCCATCCCCCATCCCCTCGTCATCGTCGTCGGCATCCGAGTCATCTGCTGAGCCCTGAGCCACTGGCGGACGACTGCCACCGATGCCTTCGTCCTCCATGTCGCTCGCCATGGCGTCTCTTTCGTTCTCCCTCTGCACTGCATCGTCTTCCTCGTCATTAGGGCCGTATGACACGGCCTCGGTGCGGTTAGCCCGTTGCTTGGTGGCGGTCGCGTCGTCATCGCCCCCCTCGTCGTCGTCGTCGTCGTCGTTGCCCCCCCGAGCGTCGTCGTCGGCCTGCGGAGCAGCCATTTCAACGACCCCGGCCTTGACTCCAATGACTGGAGTTGCCAATGTTGCCTGCGCCCTCCCCTTCTTCACTTCCTTCTTCATGAGGGAGAGGATCGTCCGCAGAAGCTTTCTCTCAACAGTGTCCATGACATCAGACACGCCAATAGCATATGTCTTGGTGTACTCCTCGGAAGGGAAGAACTCGAACCGCACGTTGTAGATCTTGGCCATCTCATTGACCTTGCCGCGCCCGACTCTTTCCTCGACATCGACCTTGTCCAAGATATACTCCAATCGAAGTACGCTGATGGACTTGGCGAAGACCTCGGCTTCCTCCGAAGACAGCTCCTTGATAGGATACAGGGTCATCGAGGGCGTGGATATGTCTTTCGAGGCCGTCATCAGGATCTCGCGGAGCCGTGGAATTCCCAGCGTGACGTTCTTGGCCGAGTGACCCGCCAGATGGAACGTGTTCAAGGTCATTTGCGTCGAAGGCTCGCCCACGGACTGTCCGGCGACGATACCCACGGCCTCTCCCGGCTCGACAAGGGACTTGAGGTACTTCATGGCAAACAGCATCTCTGCGTTTTTCCGGTTCAGCGTCACGCGGGACAGACCCTGTGCGGCCTTGTCGCCTTTATCTCGCACCAGCCCGTCGCCATTTCCCTTTAGATAGCTCGTCATTGCATCGTAAAAGGCCTCGGACGTGGCAAACGCGTGTGTGGCCGGGTTAACACTGGCAATCAGCGGATCCTTGGCGTTGGGGTCTCGGACTTTGGCGTGCTTGACGGCGCTCTTCATGTATTTGGCGAATGTGGCCCGATTGGCACCAAGGTTCTCTCCCACCTTAGGATCATACCTAAGTTGTGCCGCCTCGGATGTAACATTTTGCAGAATGAACTTAAAATCCGACAAGTATTTCTGCTTGGTCACCTCGAGTCCATCTTCGCCGTAGAGAAACTGGATTAAAGAACCATCTGCATCTCGGACAGTAGTATCATACGCGACCGTGAGCCCCTCCATTCCCTTAATCACGCATCTCTGTAGATATCCTGAACGAGATGTCTTGACTGCGGTATCGATTAAGCCTTCTCTCCCGGCCATATGATGGAAGTAGTACTCTTGAGGTCGAATGCCAGTGAGGTATCGGTTTATAATGTAGCCGCCGGCCCTGATGTTTGTCTCGAGCGGTTTGAAGCACGGGAGGGACTTGCCACTGACCATCAGGGGTACACGCCTGCCCTCTAGAACTTGCTGCCCCAAGTTGCAGGAAATAAGGGAGGCATTTACCTTAGACCCCTTTGCTCCTGAAGTCGTCATGGCCTGCATCTGGTTCTTCGGGAATGGCTTTTCGAGACGGTTAGGGATGCATGCTCTCAGGACGGCATCCGTGATATCCCTTGTCCCATTATTCATCAAAAGATCGAGGCCCTCCTGCTTGCTATCGTCACGCGCCACTTCCTCCAGGCGCTCCAAGAGCAAAGGGTTGAGAGGATCCGTCTGTTTCTCCAGCGAGACGTAATTGGTCGCAATCTCCAAGCCCACCTGGTCAGCAGAAAGAAGCTCCTTGCGGCGTGCGCTCTCGCCTTCGGGTGTCAGCCCGAGATCGTCCATGCCACACGAAAAAGCTCTCATATTGAGATATCTCGTCAGCAGCCGACCGAGACTGCTCAGTAGCTTTCCGGCAAGAGCTGACCCATATATCTCATGAATCGCGTGAATAAGTCCACCGGAACTGGGCCCAATCTGCGACTTGTCAAGGATGCCGGTAATAAATTCACCGTCCTGAATGAGGACAGTGCCTTCCTCCGAGTTGATACCCCATTGATCGGCCTTGATTTGCGCATCCTCCCGCATTGTCAGCCCTCCACAATTAGGTGGGCATATATTTTTCAGGATGGTTGTCAGAACTTGCTTCCCTGTCCACTTCGGTTCGGGTCGGATAATGGCCGGCGGCACGAGCCGAAGCCTCTCGCCTAGGATATGGCCGCTTTCCGGCCGCAAAGCGCTATAGATCAACTGATGATAGTCTCCGCGGTTGAAGAAGGTATCACGGTTGCACAAGACCACAGACACAGAGATATGATCTTGAATCAGACCTCTTAGTGGCTTGCCGGCGGTACTCGATAGATACTGATGGTCGGTATCGGCAATCTGTAGGGCCTCGGCACGCGCAACCTCGTTTTGAGGAAAGTGCATGTTCATTTCGTCTCCGTCAAAGTCGGCATTATAAGTATTGCAGTTGGCGTAGTGCATCCGCAGCGTTTTCTCGCCAGGGAGGACTCGCACTCGATGGCCCATAATAGACGGCTTATGCAACGTAGGCTGGCGGTTCATTAAGACAATATCTCCGTTCGTGAGGTGGCGATAGACCTTCTTATTTCTTATCCGTGCCGCGTTGGTGTTTGTCGGTGCAAGAAGCTGGTTTGCGAGCGAAATGCGATCATCCGCCGATTTGTTCCGAAGACTGATAACTTGCCCGTTTTCATTCTCGACGGCAAAGGCTCCTGGCCACTTATCAACGCCATTGATGACGGCCTGCTGCATGTCCTTGAAGTTGTGGCTTGTAACGGGTTCCGGATACGTGAGTTTCTTTGCAAAGACAGGAGGGACGCCGATCTCGTTGGTCTCAATGTTGGGGTCTGGGGAGATAACACTTCGGGCGGCGAAGTTGACTCGTTTGCCCATCATGTTCTTTCTGAAAAGACCTTCCTTCTTCTCTAGCAGCTGCTTGATGCCGTCCTCGTTGCGTTTCGCGGCGGCTCCCTGAACAGGATTCTTGGTCTTATCAATAAGTGCGTTGACCGCTTCCTGGAGCTCAGTCCATGCTCGATGCATTTGGGTGAGATCCGCCTCTCCGCTCTCCAAGGCACCGTAGATCCGTGCTATTCTCCCACAACTTCTCAGAATCGACTTATAGAGCGCGTTCTGCTGCGCCTCTGCGATTTGAGAATCGCCAGTCCGAGCCTCTGGCCGAAAGCGATTCGGAGGAACGAGGACCGTGCTCAAGAAGAACATGTCCGGGGTGACCTTTTGCGAACTGCGAGTCGGCGGCTTCGAGTTGTATAAGAGCGAGAGGAATTCTTGCTCCTTGGTGAAAAGCTCCGTCAGGCGGGCCTTGACCTCCATGGAGCTGATGTACCTCTGAGAGGGGACCGCTTCACTAGAGTTTGCCTCTGGCAGAACGATGCCTTCCAACGGTGCGGCAGGTTCATGCCCAGCATCTCCGCGCCCCGGAGAGCATACGTCGGCAACGCCCTCGTCAGATGTATGTCCATCGTGCTTGCGAGCTTGAGTTTCCTGGTATACTCGTGTCATGGCGTCGTCCCATGTGAGGATCTTTTGTGCCATTTTGGCCTTGTCTTTGTCGGACAAGGACTTCTCGAAAATCTTGACAACGCGATCTTTCCGGTACGAGGGTGAGATACCGCCGCAGCTGGAACAGAGTCTGCTCTTGGTTATCTCGGCCAGAAACTCTTTGATAACGTCTCGGCGCAACTCTGTTGCACCTTCGTGCTTCCCCTTCTTCACATCACCCCGCCTCAGCTTGCTTCCCCGCAGGCACTGCTGCACGTACTTCTCCCGAGTGCGCATGATGGCTTCGCCAGAGGCTCCATCTTCTTCGGCCTCGCTGTCGCTCAAGCCAAGGTCTCCTTGCAGATCGAGGGCAAGCTCATTCTCGGCGATGGAGCCGACCATGTGAGCCTGCTGGATGAGGCCGTGTTGGAGCAGCCGCAGCTTGCAAGAAAATTTATGGAGTTCTTTGGGGGGCAGTCGGAAGCCGTGGCAATATACGCAGGCCGCGCGGAGCAAGCGGTATGCTTGATCCAAGAAGACCGGATGGTACACAGGGACAGGGAGCTGTATATGTCCCGAATGCCCGGGGCAAGAGGCTTGGTTCAGGTTGCAGGTGGTACATCTGCAGACGGTCAGCCTCAGTCCATTGGGTGCCAAATGTTCGGCTACACTCACGGTGAGTCGCCCCAGGAACCAAGCGCTGGGTCGTAGAGACCGCCGGGAACAGGGTTGAGAAGATTGTCGAAGGTGCTCTCATTCTCGATGCGCTTGACAGATATGGCCCGGATCTCGTCGGCGGTGAGCAGCGTAAACCCGACGCTCTCCACCTCCGAGGAGACGGGCTGTGCGATATTCATGGCTGCGAGAGATCCCCGAAGATGCCGGGAAGATACCAGCAGGAGGTTTGCGCGCAAGCGAGGAAAACGAAAAGAGTTGGCGGCCGCGACAAAACTTTGGCGGTGCGGAGCGGCAAAATTATGTACTGAGAGGTTTTAGTGGAGCTGCATGAAAAGGTGGCTTGGCAAGCTTGAGTCGGTTTAGCGATGTGCGGATAGGTAGGCAGGTACGGTACCTCGAAGTATCATATAAGCATCTGAGTCACGAGTTTATTTGCCTGTCGAGTAAGTTATTACTGTACAGTAGTAAATCGAGAGCTAGGTAGGTATCTATATAAGCTACCTCTGCCTCTGTCTGGCAAACAGCGTACCTGCCTAGCTCAGTCTACTAATCGATACCGTTTGCTAGCACGCTTCACTCTCTCCTGCTTTATAGGCCCTCTCTAAATAACGTGTAAAACCGTTAACGGTACGTAATCTTCTTCGGCTCGCACGTATATACTCTATATATAGACGTTAGACCGTATAGCGGAACTGCTCTACGTTAGTATACCTATACTTACGGTATTATTTTATATTAAACCCCTCTTAAAACTATATTTACTATTTAATTCTATAAACTATTTTAAAATATAAAAACTTTCTTATTTAATCTAAAAATATAGTATTAATTATAAAAAATTCCGCGCTTATAAAACCTTATAATAGTCTTAAGCTAGCTATAGGGCGCTAAAATTAAAATAAATAATCTTATTAAATTCCTTATACTTAGTTACCTCCTTACTAAGATAGTATATTAGCTTTAAGATAAAAGTAAGATAAAGAGCGACTTAATAATAGTTAAGAATAGATTTTATATATCTTTAAAAAAACTTCTTATAAAACTAATATACGCCTACAGTAGGTATATATCGCGATTAAAATACTAACTAATACTAGGAATTAATTTAATAGTATTAATTACCCTTAGTAACGATACTACGCTAAAGCTAAGGGGTAGGTAGACGGGGTAGCGGCCCTTAATATACTAGGCTTAATTAAAGCGCGTAGCGTAAAGAGACGCTACCTAAATTTATATACCTTAATAAGGCGAGTTAATAAACCTAAAGTAGCGATATAATACCGGCCTAAGCGCTAAGCGACCTTATAGAAAAAGCAGTATACAACGAACTCGCGGGCTTTATCTTAAGTATATAGTTTAGTAAAGTATAGGTAGTAGTTAAACGGCTCTCTAAGGCAAAGAGCCGCGTTAATAGCGCGTTATTAGCGGTACTTTACGCGGACGAGAGCTTTAAGATAATAATCTAAGATACTATTAAGGAGGTAGTTAAGGAAGAACTCCGCTTAGGTATTACTTTAAGCTTAGGGGGCCCTAAGTAAACCTAGGCCGCGGTCGTAGCTAAAACTAAAAGACTAACTTAATATAAAGCTATAGTAAAATAGGTCTTACCGCGCTATAAATATAAGATTATTATAGTCCTTATAAGGGTACCGCTTAAAATCCTAAGCCGCGAATTAAAGAATATAATAAAGGCAGTAAATATAGCCTTAAAAGCTATAAGCGCTATAGCGGTAAGGCGCTTTTAAAGTAAAGATATCGCGGTTATATTTAATACTATAGCGAGAGCCTATTAAAGGGACTAAGGCTAGGTTAAGGCTATATTTAAACTAAAGGCTATAAATACTTACTATATATATATAGTAGTCGTTAAGAATATCCTTTTAAGGGTAGTAATAGTAAATAAGGAGTAATTACTTTATAAGATTATTCTTAAGGTATATAAGTAAAAGCGGAATTTTAGGAAATTAAGGAATTATATAAGACTATATAATAAAGGGGAAGAAGGAGTATAAGGTAGGATTTTTAATAGAATTTATTAGTAATATATTAGTATATAAAAGAGGTATTAAAGTTAATAATTTTCTATCTATTTACTAGCGGATATACTATCTTATATAGATAATTATAGCTAAATAGAAGAATCTTTTAGGACTAGATTTAGGCTATTATATAGCCCTAAGACTAAGGAATTCCGTAATACCTTAAGTAAATCTAGAGGTATCTTAGTTCTATTAATATTTATATTTAAAGGAGGTTAGTTATACTAGTATTCTTAAGAGGTCTTAGCTAGTATTCTAAGCTAGCTCTATTCCTTCGATTCCCGATTTTACGATAACCGGCAACCTATTTAATATATAATAATATATAAAATAATAAGCGATTCTTACTCTATAAGATAAGATTTTATCTATAATTAATATACTACTTATTAGCTTATATAATCGGGAGAGAATATTATAGCTACTTTATTTATAGTAGGAACACCGTTCCTTATAATTATAGAGGTAAATAAAGTTAAGGTCTCTTAGGCCTAGGTACTATACCTTTAATCTAAGATATCGATAGCGATAACTATACTTATTAAGGTTAGTAGCTTAAAGGAAGCTAATAGGCTTTATAACCTAAGCTTAGTTCTTAAAGTATAAATCTTTTAATATAAACCTTATAATAAGTTAGTTTAATTATAAAAGTACTATAACTACTATAGATATAGCTATATTACTAAGCAGTATATATCGATATAACTTTACGGCTAATATAAGAGTATAGTATATAATAAAGGTAAGGATAAATATAAAGCTAAGAAAGGTAAAATCCCTTATAACTATATCTTATATTAAGGGGACTACCTATTATAGACTTAGACTTACCTTATAGCGAATAAAGCCTAGGAAAAAGTAAGGGAAAACTACTTATAACGACCTTAATAGTTCGCGAATACTTAAATATACGCTAAGTAATAAGTACTCCTTACTATCGAAACCTAGGGCGCTTTTAAATTAACCGCGGTTTAAAAGTAGGGACTAAGTAGACCGCGCTAAGATAAGAGGTCGAGCTCGAGATACCCGCTAGCTAGTAGGGCTAGGGAGGCCGAACTAAGTATAAATAATATTTATAAGTATAGTAAATAGAAAAGCGCTAAGAGATAGAGCGCCTCCCTCCTTATATAAACGACCTCTTTTACCTTAACCTTACTTATATATAACTAAAAGTACTATTCTAGAATATATAAAAGAGATATAAGCTAGCTTAGTTAGTGCTTTACTATTAAGCTAGCTTTAACTTAATAGTATTATAAGAAGTAAAAGCTATATTAAAAAGCAGCCCCCCCCCCTTAAAGCAGCGCTTTATAGCTTAGTTTATAAGGAGGGAGGTATACGCTATATATATATATAAAGCTTAGGCTAAGGACTTAGTCGCTTTAGTTTAAACTAAACTAAAGTAAAGTAATTTTTAAGGATAGTACTAAACTATAAGCGATTTACTTATTACTAAGGGCTATAAAGGCTAAAGTATTATATAGAGTATTACTATTTATATAGACAAATGTCTCTATTTGCATAGACGATCTACTTTTTCTACGCGTACCCCGCCCGCCCAGCCCCCGCCACCTAATTTAGCTGCACTAACGTGGCAAAGGAGGGAGCCGCGCTAGTATAAAGATTATATATACCTATAAGCCTAGGGCACCTTAATTCGTTTAAATAACGTATCTTCGCGATTATCGCGAGATATACGTATATTACGTCGTATATTACGGCCCGGCTAATAGTCCGGCCTAGGCTACGTGGGCGTGGGCTGCGTAGCTGGGATAACCTCCTTTACCGACGAGGCCGGCGTAGCCCTTGCACCTCTGCCCCGTCTCCCTCGAGATCCCCTTCCCCGTGTATTTGCGCGCGCTCGCGATCTTCCTAATAACGGCCGGGTAGAGCCCTAACTGCCTCCTTTATCGATCTCGGCTTATATGCGCGTGCGGCGTACGCTAGCGTTAAGGCGGCGGGTGCTTGCCTGACTAGACCGCGGCAGCCGTCTCTGCGTGCCTCTAACTAACTATAAGGCCGGCTACGAAGCTAGCTACGCGGCATCGTCGTCTTCGTCTCGATATAGCCTTAGGTCTTAAGGCATAGGTAGGCTAGTGTTCTTAGCAACGCGAGGTCGGCCACGGAGGCTTTAAACGATATTAGGGTCTCGGATTCGAAGAAGTAGCTCGTCGAGATCCTAATAGTAAGGATTAGCGTAATTCGTATATAAAAGGGGCTTCTCTACTAGAGCTTTAGCTACTACTAAGGGTAAATATCGTACTTTATAAGCGGAACGTTAGCTTAAAGGCGTTAGAAGATCGTATATATATAAGGAAGCCCTTACTATTATATAAATTAACTCGTATAATACGGTAGCGGCTATAACTCCCGCTCTTACTTAGGCTCTAAGGGTATCGCGGCTAAGGTAAGCCGGTATTGCTTAGTAAGGAGGTTAACCGCTTAGTAGGTAAGTTTAATATTTAGCTTACCTAGCTATTTTTAGCTAAGATAAAGAAGCCGCTGCCTTAACTTTTAGCGGGCCGCCTCTTAGATATAGGAGCGTTCTTTATTCGCGATTATTTACTCTAACGTAGTATATAGGTAGAAGAGATCGCCGGTACCTATAAGTAAATACGACTTTATATCTTTATATATAGTCTTAACTAGGCTATTAACCCTTTAGCCGAAGTTACGATAGCAGCTAATATAGTAATAAGCTTACTACTCTTACTATAGTATATATTCCTTAGAAATATATCTTACGATATAGCCTTAGTATTATCTATACTTATAATTAAGCGCCTACTAAGCCGACTAAAAGCCTACCTTAGTTAGGGCGTAGATAACGGCCTTCTAAGCAGTAAATATCCCCTCGCGGCTATAGTCTTTAGGTTATACGGGTTATACGCTTAAGATCTTCTTATCTTTAGCTTCTTCTTACGTAGCGACTCTACTAAGGAAGATATTAGTAGGATCGTTAGCGCCGTTAACGCTATTAGCTTCGTTATCGTTATTATTATTATTATCGTTAACGCCGCTAAGCTCCTTTTAACGTAATTTAATTTTCGTATTAATATTAACGTTAATATAGTAAATATAAAGTTATTATTATAATAAAGGGAAAACGTATAAGAGTATATTTTTAAGGGCTTTTTCCT